TGGGCGTAATTGCTTCCATTTAGAGGCACTCTTATGGATGAAGCGCAGTGTTATTATCTCCCTCTGGCTCCATCCACAACATTTAATCGCTCCTCGCGCTGATTTTACAAGTGTTTCTGCGCGTTTGCGCCCGTGTGATAGATGGAGTAGCCTCACCTCGCCTGTGCTTCGTCCAAGCTTTGGTCTGTGATAGTCATTATTTGCTGTAAAATGTCTCCGATGTCCTGCTTTCTTCCCTCTCCGTCCGTCCCCGCCGTGCCATCCTGCATATGCTGCGCCAGGCCGGGGTGTCCGGCCATGCCTACCCCGTGGGAGTGCATCAACCTCGGCTGTTCGTCCATCCTCGACCACGCTCCCTGCTGCCTCGTCTCCAACTTTCTTTTGGTTTCTGTTTATTAGATTGACACTGAGGCGGTGGTTTTGAAAGAAAGCGGAGAAAATATCCAGTGGAATTCCTCCGGATTCCTCTGCGCCTCTCTCTCTCTCTCTCTCCGTCTCTCCTTCTCTCTCAGCTCCGGCACTCCTCCTTTTTCCTTGGTAAGCTTTTCTGGATTTGGGAGGAGGGAGAGACTCAGACAAACCCTCTCTCTCTCACTGTCTCTTGGTGTCTCTCTCGCAGCTGGTTTAGGTGAAATCTGATCTGAATCGCTGCTTTTGGCTCTGCAGCCACTCCTGTGCTCCGCTGCAATAGAGAAGAAAAAGAAAAAAAAATTAAAAAGGTGTCTAATCTGATTAAAAGTGCAGCGCGTAAAAGCTGCGTAAATGCACCGGAGATTCTGGAGCTCAGAGGCTTCTAGCGCAGACTCAAGTTGCCCACAGTGGAGGCTTTGGAGTGGAAGTCAGCACCAAGTGTTATTGTTTAGCTTATGTCTGGTTACTGACTCATAATCAGAGTATGGATGGAGAAAAAAAAGCCTCCGCCCCTCGAGCCATGATTGGAGAAGACGCAGAGCGCAAGTCCCACCTCGCTCTTCTCCCCACACGTCAATCATCCTCCTCAGGAAGGTGGGACACTATAATAAACATAAAGAGATGTGACCGGGCCGGGTGGCAATACAGTGATGGATAGAGAGTGAATATGTAGCCTAATAAATAACTGTGAGTGGCAGCGCAACTCTAACCCTACAGGACAGCATGGTGGTGCCTGCAACACACACTCTGTCAGCAGCACCGTATATTTTACTGCTGAATATTTACATCCATGTAATCAGTCAAAAGGGATAAATAAATAAATCAGAGTGGATTTATTGGAGCGTGCAGCAGTTTGAGGGAAGCCCCCGCGCTGTGTCACAAACAACAAGCGGCCTTGATTCTTAAACTTAACTGACAAAGCGGGCTTCAACCCTGATTGATTACAGTCTGCTGTGATATTGGAGGCTGGGGGCATTTAAAGATGTCACTAAAAGCCGGGGTTTAAAATTCACATGGGCTGTTTTTTTTACGAGGCCACACGGTGAAAGAGTGGTTGGTGCTTTCACCTTACAGCAGGAACGTCTCCAGTTTGAGCCGTTGGAGTATCTCGTGACCTCACTGTATGGATTTGGTTTGTTTTCCTGGTATGCATATATATATATATATAGTACTAGGATTTCCTCCCACAGTACGAACATATGTAGGATTTGATTAATACCCATAATTGACCATAATTATTAGTGTTAATTGTTGTTTGACTCTGAATGTCCCAAAATTGCTGAGACTGGCTGCAGCCCCCGCCCCAGTGTTTGGGATTTAGCAATTTCTAGTGGTGACGTAAACATCACCTCACCATTCGCAGCCAAACATACAGCAGAGTAACAATAACAATTTTATAGTTTTGTGAAATTCAATTAAAATACTCAATTAGATAAAATAATAGATACTAAAGTAGATCATACTTCTGCCAGTGATTTGGGTTAAAAATAAATTAACCTTCAGCTCGCATTAAGGATTCATAATAAGAGCGTGGTGAATTCTAAATCTTAAAAATAGATTTTTATTTTTTCTTTTTTATATAAATGTTCTGAGGATGTCTCGGTAGAAAACAACTCAGACAAAGTTAGCTTTGAGTGAAGTGGTGAGATTGGCTCACTATTATAGATTATAAAACTTTAAATTAAGGCTGGGATTAAATGTAAGTATGATTTTAGACAATAGTCCAACTGTGAAATATTCCTATATTTCTATGTACAGAATATGGTGTCAAAGTTCGCACAGTGCTTTGGTTCCTCACAAATCATTGAGGTTGCAGCACGTCGTCTCGTCCTGTTTTGATTAACAGTTCCCTGAAGTCCGCCATTTCTGATAAACAGCGAGCGATCACCAGTCTCCACAGCTAAATGTATAACCTGATCCTGTGGGAAAATAAAACACTAAGAAATATCACTGTACCAACTGTCGTCTTATATGCCAGATAAATCTATTTCTATTTTTAGCACCTCCTACAGGATGGGAGCTCATGTACATGGGCTTTGTTTATGAGGATATAAGAAAGTTACATTTGAATCAATTAATGCAATTAATATTCTTTTCTAAATCTAAATTAGACAAAAACTGGATTCTTAAAATGCATGTAAACAATCATTTTCAGGACATAAAAAATTGTAATAAATTACAAATTTGAAGTTTGCACCAGTTGGACTGATTCATTTAGTCTATTTAGTAAAAAAAAAATATCTGGAGTTTTTTTCTGTTTGATAAATAACTACTAAAACAATGAGTCAAAACCAGATTGCACATTTAAACTTTTATGTCCATAGACCTAATGACTTGATACAGAGAAGAAAAAAAAAACAACTAAAGCTCATTCTTTATATTGCTGAGTAAAGCAAGTGTTAATTGCTGCTAAATTTCAGTGATAGTAAATAAATCTCAGCTCAGCACTTAGTGATCTAAACCCCATCATGGATATGCTGCAGTTCTGTCCCTCCGAGGCAGATGTGTGCTATATCCAAATGCCTCCTCCTCCTTTTACTGGCCGGACAGAAATCGATCAGTCAGTTTTCTCATTACGTGCTGAATAGGGAGGTAGGGCAGTAATTGTCACGAGGGGCAGGGTGAGGTTGAGGGTAGTGGTGGTGATAATGTCTGAAAGTCAGGAGCTGCAAGACTGCACAGCAAAGTGCCGTAATGAAAGTCTGCAGTCCGGCGGCCACCGTGCTTTTATTTCATTCTTTATTTAACAGGGTCATAATGACGCAGGGTTATGTTTGTGTAGTAGAACTGCTGGAATGTACAGAGAATTTCTCCTTTTGGGTCTCCAAAGCAGCGGATATAAATCCCAGTGCTGATGGGAGGTTGGCTCTTCAAATCCCGATCTATACCAGCCCCACATCAGTCTTCCCAGTCTGATTTGAAAATCAGGGCCGCATTGATTAGTGTGAAATATGACCTAAACAGCTCAATCTGTTGGCTCCATGTCCACATTTATTCCTCTCTAAACCAACCGGCAGAAATGACCTTATTACTCGCTTGTTTTTCCGAGAAAAGTGAGCACTGAGCGGAATAAATTAAACCTTATTTTTTTGGGAAAAACATACAAGTTGAGGCTATAAAAATGGGATTTGATTATACTTGTAGATTAACTCGAGGCGTAGAAATATTTGTAGAGACAGTGGATGTTTTTCTCCAGAAGTTTTTGGGTAGTTTTTTTTTTCCAAGACTTAAGATGTTGTTGTCAAACTTGTCAGTATTCCCAGAAGACATGTGAACTAGTTGAATGTGTTGGGTTGTGCGGTGTTCACCACTGAGGCTCTGCTGACAGGAATGCGTGGAGACACAATGTTAAAGATTATGATATGTGAATGGAAATTTGAGGATACAAAAAGAAAAGGTGGCACCCCGGATTTGCATTTTAACAATTGCGCATGAAATTATGTGAGTTAACCAGAAATATGTCATACATTGTTCATGAGACAGTATTACCCTACACTGTCTAACTACTTAATATACGAGGTTGTATGAGGAAAACAAAGACAAATATTTATTTATTTTTTTTGTTGTACCTGCAAATTTACTATTTATTTTTCACAGCAATAGTTGCAGAAAAGGACAACAAATGTTGTCCAACTACATCACACAGCACTCTGCTCATGTTTTGTATCCTTATAAATAGCACGATTATCTGAATTATACATGTTTTTTTAAGCCGGCACAAAACTATTGATTGAGACCAATAACTCCTCAGGAAATCTGTATTGATATTTTGAGTGGAGTGACATTTTACATGCTCACCAGTGATACTGAAGGCAGTAGTAATGAGGTAGCCTGGTTCTCTGCATTTGACAGATGCCTTTCCACTACAGATAATGTAATTAAATATTAACCAGTCAGCCTTGCACAGACAAAACATCCCAGGATTTTATTGCATTGGAAGGAGATAGAGGGATAAAAAAAAGGCCAATTAAAAGTGAGCACTGAAATGGCCAAGGTTTGCTAAAACTAGCAAGAAGTGAAGGGTTAGTCAAAGTATTAATGGGATGAAAAAACATGTAAAAAAAAACTAATGCAACTAAAGGAGTCTAACAATTAAAAGTTACCCAAGTAATAACTAGGATCTAACTGAAAAACTCAAGTCAGCCTCAGGTGCCATAAAGAACAACGTTAGCCAAAAAATAGTTTGACCACATTTGTAAAAAAAAAAAGGGATAGATACCAGGAGACAAAAAATCTTTTCAGCCAATATTGGCCCGAGGACCAGATTTTGAATACCCTTGTCTCAGACAAAACATGGTCTTTTGTAATTAGAAAAAAAAAAAATCATTAACCACATGGTCAGTCCAGCTTTTACAATCTGGCCATGTAGTTGTTATAGATTTTTGCCTAACAGAAAACGAAGGCTAAGAGGCAACAACCTCAGACACTATTTAGCATTGATAGCAGTTGAAGGTGTTAATGGTGTGACACGGGCCACAGGTTGAAGGAAGCCTAACATGAAAGTCATGATGACAACAAACAGTCCACTGTGCCACAGCCGTCACCGTCATACACATAGACGCATTAGCGGCCCATGATCTTAACAGCGCATCATTTGCCACACGTTAAACAGAATTTAGGTTCTACTGAGTCTCTAAAAGTTTTATGTAAAAGCACTGTGATGCAGTTTAAGAGAGTGAGCCTCCAAAACTCAACACCATGTAAAACAAACTTTAAGTTTTCAGGCTTTATTACTTGCTGACTCCACAGCACAGAGTGTGTTTTCCTATCTGGACCAGGGTCAAACAAGTCCTCCCAGAGAGAGCAGCGGGTCAGAACAGGGTAAGTTATGTATGAGCTAGGAACACACTAAGGGAGAGAGCAGGAGCTGTATGGCACATCTCTCCAGGAAGTAACCTTGATGAAAAATTCAGTTGTTTGCAGCTCCTGGCATCCCTCAGGCATGAATAAAGTAAGGCCCAGAAAGAGAGAGAAAAGACCTGGGCTCAGACTGAATCTACTCAGCAGCACAATGCTGAGGAGCACACACCGGCTATAGGAGATGGGCACGAATTAAACTTTAATCACACCTCAAATAGATTAAGCGACAGGAGCCAAGTCAGCAATTCCTGGCCCTGGCTCTGCCTCGGTTGACCATCCTGCTTTAAACTCCTGCTAAATTAAATACCCACAAGTTTCAGTTTCTTTGCACCTCACAATTCGCTTGTAGGCAAAGATACTTTAGAAAGCAAAAGCTGCAGAGCGGCCCAGTCATTAATGAGATATTACACATCGGTCGCCTCATTATATGGCGTCTCCAGAGGTTTGTTATTGCATTTCCATAAAGTTAGGGAGATTGTGAGAGAGCTATTTTTAAAGAGATTGTCAGAATCAGCACAGCAGGATTACCAGGCAAAATAACTTTTTTTCAAACTCTCACCACCTACGCTATACGCCCTTATATACTATGGATTTTTTTTTTCTTTCTTTCTGCAATGTGAGCCTTAGACCAAAAGTAGGACATGAACTTTAGGGATTGTCTACTTAAAAACAATGAAACGCAGCCATTTGCCTATACAACACAGTCTCACGTGACCATGACGTACAATATCACCAGTCACAGATTTCTCTTTGCAAAGATTAGTTATGGAAAAATATAAAATAATAATCTAGGAGATTTTTTTCTTTGTAGTTTTAATTTAGCAAAAAAAAAAAGCCAAATTAAATTTTATCTTAAAATGAAAAGTGAGGAACAGATGCTTTGAAAAAATGATGCAGTACAAACTTTGAATAAATTTGCCAAAACACGAGCTGGAATTTAACAGACAGGCTGAAAACTAGAGAAAATAGGACTCAAAGAAACCTTTCCAGAAATATTCAGAAGTTCTTCAAAGTGAATCAAATGAACTACAAATATTTATAGATATACTGTAGTAGTTTCTGAGTGCATTTGCTCCACTATATGTAAAACTATAATCTGTACTTGTAAGTGGACCACACATCAACAAATCCATTTGTGTCCAACACTTGTTGTGTTAACATTTAAAACTGTGTTCATTGGAAACAGTTTGAATATTTTTGCTGCCTTTCTGACTCATACAAAAACCACAAATATCAAGAATCCCTTTGGTTCCACAACAGTGAGTAACAGTCAACTGTAGGTCCATCTCTCACTCACCAGGTTTTTGAAGGCATTACTAGTGAAAACAGAACACCGCCATGGCTGGTGGAACCCTGTGGAGCGGCTGCTGCTGCTGTGAGAGAATTAATTTAGCAGGACGAGGAGGAGGAGGAGGAGGAGGAGAGGCTCTGTTTGCTAAACCAGTGCTGTGCGTGTAAGAGATGTCATCATGCTTTTGAAGCAAAACTGTTTAAAATGTTGCTTTTCTGCACTTTGAAAGCAATCTGAAGCAACGACTAAGAATAGTTGTTTCAAACTTGATAAATATTTCTCAGTGGTAGCTAGTAGTAGTTAGTGTCCAGTTAGAACTGGTTACATTGGACGGTGGTTTTTGCAATGACGAACATGCTATCTCTGAACTACTGTTACAGGTCAGTAATTAACATTAGGCTGCAGTTTCAACAAGTCTTATTTGAAACATGCAGGTCAGAATAAAGTGTTACTGTCAGTTGGCGGTTTATTCTTTTTCTCTGCCTCCCTGTGTAATTGTTCATCTTCCCCAGCGTGGTGTGATTTGACCCAGTTACCTTAGCAACACTCTATCTGCCGCACATCGTCTTGATGGCCATGATCCACCTGCCGCCTTTTCAGACCACATCTACTCTACGCTCTTTGTCCATTCGTCTTCACTTGAAGTTTGTATCACCGACAGTGTCCCTCTTCTTTTTCTTTCATCAAGCTTCGTCTTACTCCAAAAACACCTGAAAGAAGAAAAAAAATGTTAATGTTAGATATTAAAACAAACAAACAAAAATAAATAAATTGCAGAAAAAAGTAAATAAATGAAGCAATTGAATACAATGTATAGTGAAAATAAGAAAATCAAATAAAGTAAAATAAAATAACAAAATATAATATTATATACAATATATAATATAACAAAGTGGCAGAAATTAAGCCAGTGAACAAGCACCAAATCTGAAATAAACCATAAAAATTGGCAAATTATAACTTAGCTCTTACATTTTTTAAACCAATATTTAGAAAATATTTAGAAAAAAATATAAAATTTGATTTAACATACACATACAACATAACCACAAAATAGCTTCAACTTGGCCAATTGGTAGTTTTCAAATAGCCATAAATAAATAAATAAATGTTAGCAAAAAAAAGCTACAGATTAACCAAAAATATAGCTAAACAGTAGCATGAATTAGCCAAAATGCTAGGGAAATGTTAGTAGGAGCATTTATTAAATTACCTTTGGTTTGCTCCAAGACGGTCCAGAAAGATATTTTATATCTGTTAAAAAAACATAAAGCAGAAACAAATTGGTACCTGCTATTTTGAATTAAACACAGTTTAATGACAGAGGACAGTGTATAACTGGACGTATTGTATAGTAAAATGTAGAGAAATGCAACTGGAAGTCTGCCTTAAATAAAACCTGCTACTGTTTACAGTCTGTGATTTAGAAAATGTTGTTAAAGTATCTGAAACCTCTGGTGGAATCTCATACTGCACTTGTATGTTTCAGTAATTCTGTTTGATCACGCCGGCAGAACATAAATTATACATTATATCATAAATTATTATACAGATTTGGAGGCCGTGGGCTTCATAAAAACCTGTCCGAGTGCCATGACTGGCCCGCAGGAGGAACTTGGACAACCTGGAAATTTTCTGATGGCATGTCACCTGACCGTTGGCTGCAAATTCTGCCAATAGCCTTTTGCCTGATTTGTCACTGCATAATCACATGTCAGTGGAAGTAAATGATAGTAAATGTTTGTCATCAGAATGAATAGAGTGCTGGCAGTGGAAAAATCAGCCGACACCAACAATTATATCTTTAGTGAATAGAGTGATGCATCTTATCCTCAGTGAATGGATGCACGATGAATGGACACAGGAAAATACACGTGTCATTGGCTGACATGTCTCTGTTGATGTGGACACTGCCAAACACACAGTAATCAGCGGCAGATAATAAAAGGATGGAGGTTGTTCATTGTTAGAGGGGTTGAAGATGAAGTACAAACATCCTCCACTTGTTTAGTCAACAAATAACAAGGTTTAAAAAAACTCCCGACTTTCAAATTACAGTAGCACAAATTCAACAGATTAGAGGCAATGTTCTAGCAGCCGAACATAGCTGTGCATCACTTTAGTTCAAATCATCACTTTACCAAAGAGCTTTCATTTTCACTGGAGTAGAAAAGGGAGGAAAAAAGAAAAAAGAAATGCTGCAGTAAAGTCATGAAACATAAGGCAGACTTAACACATCAAATATCACCAAATCTTAGTTTACATAGAATTTTAGGTGGTTCTCAAACAGAGGTTCGACTCGAAGGACGCTCAGGAAATATGTTAAGGCAGTTTCTAAACAATTAAATTAAATGTAATTAATACTAAATGTAAAAACATTATATTATGTAAAAACACTCACATAAAAAAATCCCCAAAATATTTCCAAGTTAAAAATCCACACGTCTTAATTCTAGCCAGGACAACAAAAACAATGACAGTTTTTATAAATTTTTTATAAATAAGACAAGCTTTAGAACCAACTGTCAGGATTTAAATAATTCCACACTGAATACTTTTATATTTTTGGATGTTTGTTTTTAGAGATCATATTTTGGTAAATATTCCTCGTTCCGCTGCCATTATTCAACATCGTTTTTTTAAGATAAACAAAGACCATTGCTGAAGAAGAAGCTGGTTAAGATGGAGATTTTATGCAGTGTTTCTTTGTTGTGGGGAATAAAAAAAAAATTGCTCGTTTTACGTGAGAGGATTTGGCCGCGTCTTGTAGCCGATGATCATCCTCAGTGTGGAGGAGCTGAGTGATGCTGCGTGTTTGTGCAGCTGAGTCTTGGTCAGAGCCAAGGATGACTGATATGAAGGGCTCGACCTGTCACGTTGCATTTGACTTACTATCCTTGGAAGAGGATGAAAGAGGAGGCAAATGTCAAGTGATACAAGTGACACATATCCTACACAGAGAAGGATGGCTAGATGAATGTTTCACAATAAAACCTCGAACCCACCAGCCATTCTGGGGATGGCAGGTAGAAACAGCATAAGCTGATCATTTCCATAGAAATAACAGTCGGTGGTGGCACGCACAGTGTGCGGCAGCCACAGGATTTCCATGCCCTTTTCCGTGAGTGTGTCTGTTCTTGCTGCAGGGCCCCTGGAAGCCCTCAGACCTCTTGGCAAAGCGTGGGCTGTGCCTGGTAGGGGGAGATGTGACGGATGCCTCAGAGCCCGCTAGCTGCTCTGTGAATTTTCCCAGACTCATTTGCATTCATAAAGAGCCTACTCCTTGTCACAGAGTGTTTTCTTTTTTAGTCTGGCTCCAAAAATCCCGTGCGACTCCTGGTGGGAGTGCGCCGGGAAAATCCAACTGTCAAAGACGACAAGATGAATGAATCCCTGTGTCAGACGCGTGTGGCTTCAACGGTGACAGATGGAGGAGAGCTGTCCCTCCATCGATCGGCAGGCTTCATTTTTGAATGCATAAATCTGAATTTCGCCCCCTCCCATAATTACAAGGGGAACGTTCTTTGACAGCTCTCTGTGTTTGTTGATGGGAGTTTATGTTTGGTGGGCGGTGGCATTGACCAGGTGTTTTTTTTTAATATTTGATGTTAATTTTTTGATTTTCAATGAGGCACAGAATCCACCTGGAATAGCAGGTGGACGTAAGACATAATTAAACACGATTAATTTCCATATTCTCTCCTGGCACATCTGCTGTGCTTGGGTTTTCTCAAGCAAATCCCCACAATCCTTCACCGCATAAAGGACACCACTCCCGATGCAACCAAGCACTCTGACCTCTCCTGGAAGACGGGGCAGAGATGTCACGAGGAATCCTGGGCCTCCTGATGGAATATCACCCCAGGTCCACGCTTCCTTAACAAATTAATCCCATTGACTTTCCTCTGTGTTCCATCTGTGCTCCCATGACGTCATCAACACTTAAAACATTCCCAGGCACACAGTGCATAGTTTCAGGACCCTGTCAGTGGAGTAGAAACTACAAGCTACACAGACAAAGACATACTCCTCTGTACGTACAGCTTGGCTATTATAAAGACTTTGAGAACCACTTCTCCAGACTTTAATGTCATCATGAGCTCATAATAAGAAAAACCACTTCTCCAGACTTTAATGTCATTATGAGCTCATAATAAGAAAACAACATTTTTAAGCTCACATAATACTGAGATAAAGGTCTCAAATTTGATTTATGAGAGGAAACAGTGACAAAAAAAAAAACAAAAAAAAAAACATTCATTTTTGCAGTACCACCGAACCATGTGTTCACCTAGTCCTGCAGCTGTTACTGAAAAATTCTGTCTCCTGGTGACATTTCCCTCTGCGGAAGCCTTGTCTTTATGACATTTTAAGCCCAACTATTTTCTGTCCACACTCTGTGGTGTTTAACGATCAGATTTACCTCCAGCGTTCATTTGTCAATGCTGCACCTCGGTCCCTGTGTTCTACTCTAGGTCTGGTTTCACAACAGAACACAGAACCTAAGGTTTGTCTTGGTGTGTCTTCAGTCAGGAAGAGTGCCAACAATCACTCCAGATGGAACCGGCATCTCCAACATTGTAGAGATGCACACAGTGGCTCATCCCTGATGTGGAGATCACCGATCGTTCTTAACGTTGCATCAGATTCTGTAGGGTCTGAAATAAAAGTCTTTTAAGTTTCCAGACTAATCAGATCGAGACACATGTGTCTAATTATCCAAGTCCAGCAAAAAAAAACTGCCACTGACAATCTTAGAGCAAAAATATATCACTATGCAAAAGGCGCCCACATGTGCCTCCTTCTGTTTTCAGTTACTGAGCTGCCAGTCTGCCGTTAGAATCTAAATTCCTTCCTTCCCTCTTCTGCTAACTAGCTCCCTTGAGGTTCTGGCTCTTACCAAGAGTCGGATCAAACCGAGAAGCCCTGTTATTCCTGCTCCATGCTGGTGTATTCTCCCTGAAGTAACATCTGCATACTCTGTGTCCTCTGTCCAACTGCCTTGCTGCTACTGTACCCTGTCTCCTCGGTGACTGACTGACACATCTGAAAGTGATGGGCTGATCTCAGACCTGCTGGGAGAAAATTGCATCAAACCACTGAACCTGCTGTGCCAGTGTTAATGACTATCAGCTGTTTATATCTCCCTTCTCATTAAACATCAGTGATGCCAAAGCTGTTTTTTTTTTTCCAAAATCATAATCGGTTGCATTAAAACACTTGGAAATAATTTACTTTTTTTCAAAAACATTACTCATTCCTCCAATAACGTCACCAGACAAAACCTCACAACCATTTAGTTTTTGTTTGTTCAGTTACTAAAACCTTAGGAAGGATCAGCAGCACTCAGACACAACAGATTCACGCCCTCCCTCGCCTCGCTCACCCAAAACACCCAACCACTACTTTTCATTTATGGCTTTTAGCTGCATACACCGAGAACTCCAACATCTTACAAACCCTCACCGTGTTCTTTTCAGTCTCCCCACATCGATTGTGCATCAATTTTTCTTACACCAGTTTTCAAACCAGGACTGCAGGCAGCACCAGGAGAGGCCGAAGTCTTCCAACCTTTACAGAGGCCCTGGTGTAATGCAGCAGACCAGGGCTCTGAACATTGTAAAGTTGTGGAGATGTACTTACCTAATTTTTGCCTCTGACAAACTTTCCTCTGGCAGATTTCCATGGTTACTCCCAAGACGATTCCCCCGTCCTGGAAAAAAAAAAAAAAAAAAAAGGATATAAAAATTTTGTGCCTTCTGAATTTTGGGCAGAGTTTCATGAATTTTTGTGCATAAATAAGAGCACAGAAAAAAAGTGACTTTTTTTCTGAAAGGAGAAAAAAATCCTCTGGGAGGAGACTTAGAAAATATCCAGCATCGAGTGTTTTTTTTTTTTTTTTAACACAGGTAACTCTGTCCCTGGACTGCAGACTTCCTCTAACAGTCTTGGTTATCGGTAATTTTCAATGAACTGGAAAGCTGTTTTATGGCAGCATATGTGTGAGCTCAACCCTATCTGCACCAAGCAGAAACAGCCAGTTCTATCTTCTCCTCATTGACACAAGACTATTTGAAGCTAAAGGGAAATTCATTCTTACAGAACAACAATAGAACAAAAGATAACATGAATACAAATAAATATAAAAATTAAAGAAACTTTGTGTATAGTCAACACAGCCAGCTGACCGGAGAGTCAGCAGTGCATTAGACACACTGCTTCCTGTTTTCCAGTAAAGAAAATGTCAATTAACCGGAGCAGGACTGTCTCCATGTGTCAATAAACAAGCTAACACACAGTATGTTGGTTAGACGAGTCTGAAGAAAAATGTGACTTAGTGAGGTTTAAAGGCCTCTCTTTTACCACTGAACTAAGAAGAGCATATTCAGCACTTCTTCAGTTGTTCTGTTATATTCCTCGTATCATAACAGAACAAATCTTACAGTAGGATTTGCTCCGGTCCTTGTCCCTGATGTTAATAGCTCCAAACTGCTGACATTGTTGACCTACTTTAACAAACTACCCACGAGGACAGTGAGACACAGGACTGCAGTAAGAAAACACACCACGCTGGCTGACCAGAGTCTCTGACTGTGATCCTGACATGGCTGCATCCCTGGTACACACCATGGTTATTACTGGTCTGCACAACTTCAACGCTCTTCTCACTAGTTCCTGCTTCACGCACAGAAAACATACCCATAGATAACTGAATAAATCACAGCGTCGGTCCAAGAAGGGCCTGTCGCACCAAAAAACTAAATAAATACCTAAATAATACTGCAGTCTGCTTGTACACAGCGTGACAATTGGGACTGTTTAAAGCCTTATGGTCCCTTTGTTGCACTAGAACAACGACATTCCTCCAAACCGTGTCACCTGACAACAGTTTTTCTGCACAAAAGGCAATCACACTGCAGACCTTCACCTCAGTCACCTGCCTTATATTTATTGTGCACCTGTAACCATGTTTCTGTATCTGATCCTCAGCACATTTCCTTTTAGGGACTTACATCTGATGTATCAAGAAGTAGGATAAGGATTTGAAAAGGATTACGGCTGTGAGAGTATTGAGAGACACGTATTCACTTTCACAAAGCGCTAAGAAACAATTCACCAATTAAAAAAAAAAATAATAAAAAAACAACAATAATTTCTTGTGTCTAAAAACAGCATACACAGCCACACGTGGACTAATAAAAGACTTGATGCATTAATTAGGACTCCGAGCATGACTGGAAATGAGAGTCTGCACGTGCAAAGCAAATTAATTCAATTTATTTATATGTAAATATGAATATAAGAAGAAGAAGAAAAAAAAGAGCGTGTTGTTTTTCCACACAAAACAGCGGAAAACAACAAAGTGCGTTGAATATGAGCGACAACGATTTCCCCAACCTCAAAGAACATGGTGCAAGAAGAGGAAGATAAAAAAGGAGAACATCTGGTGAGCCGAGCTCGGTGCCAGAACAAGACAAAGCCATGTGTCTGGCAAACACATACCTACACACACACATACCTACACACACACACGCACGCACCTATTCATGCATGCATACTCAAACCTGCTCCACCCCCTAACTTGCAAACAAGCAAAAAAAAAAAAAAAAAAAACACACCCCACCTCGCAAAGTTAAAGTGGCACACATGCACAGTGGATTCATTGTGCCCACACGCACTGGGGCACAGCGGGGTGCAGATGCAAAGAAAGGAAACATAAAAAGCAGAAGTAGGATGTGACTGGAGAGTCCACCGTTCAGACAAGACTAATCTACATACTCAGAGGCTTAGAAGTGAATATGCATGAGACAATAAAATGATGTGCCTTGGAGCAGACCACCCGCTCCTTTAGGATTACCGAGCCCACCTCCGAGCCTTTTATCTTCTTGCTGGCATGTAATCAAGCTGATTCTGTGAGCACTGTCTGATGCTTTCACAGAATGAATTACACTTAAGAAAACCTAACCTGTTGAGAAAAAAGAAAGGATTATCTAAAAACAACAAAACAAACATAAATATATATCTAAATTCTCCTATTATAAAGACTTTTCTTGTGCCTAATCTTTCCGCCCGATTTTATTTGCAGTAAGTGGGAGTAACCGGCTGAAGGCTAGGAAACAAAAGATATTTGCAATAACTGCAGTATTAAACACAGCGCACTGATGACCCATCAAATATTGAAGAAATGTCTGCTGGATCCGTGAATTCACATTTCAGACAGACTTGCTCCAACACTGTCCTCAGCAATGAATGAATATTTCATTTCAGAAAATAGATTGGGCCTGAAAGGCACCATTACAAAACCCTGATGTCAGGGGGAAAACATTCTCCACTTTCAGTCGAAAGTTAGGGAGGAATGATAAGAGTCATCCATGCGAAACACAAGCTGATGGGGTAATGCATTGGCATCACATTAGCATGACTGTATCCAAGACAGTGTGTGTGTGTGTGAAAAAGAGAGAGAGAGACTCCAAAATACAACATTGAAAATTGGAAAATTCAGAGCACAGAGTTTTCTCTTCACCCATCAGCTGAGAAGAAACAAAAATAGAAATGTTTTAAACCTCCAACTGTCAGACGCAGCTGTTACGACAAATTTACACAATAATCTCACTTTAGATGCTAATCAGATCTAAGAAACATGAACTTTACAAACATCTACTCCTGTGTATCTGTGTGTAATATTCACCACTCAGCAGACTGTAGTGCTCCTAGTTATATTGCTATAACCACATATGGACCTCACTCCCACAGGAAATGAGTACGAATCCATTTTAGTGTCATTATTATTATTGCCATTTCTATGAGTGATATTCAATCAGTTGGGGCTGTTTCCTGACAGTTTAGAAATTATTGTTCATAATTAAATAATAAGTGTTACATGCATGAGTTTCACAAATATTTTCTATTGGTGAGTAATCCAACTGATGGAATAATAATATGGAAAAATGACAAGAAAATATCAAAACATATAACTCAAAATTGAGCTTAGCCTAGTAGCTCAACTATGATGAGAAGGACAGTGGAAATATTCACCATGCAGTATACAAACGCGGACTTGGGTCCGGAAGGCTTCAGGTACGAGTAACCTGATTAATTTCATCATCAAGTGACTATTGCTATTAAACATGTTAATTTCACACCATTAAAAAACAATAATAAACAAAGATATAGAGCCCGACATATGAAAATCTAGGTAAATAAATATTAAAAATTATAAGAAAACTTAACACCTAAAATTAAATTAAATGTTTACCCAAAAGAGCTAATAAATAAATGTTTAAAAGATACACAGTTTTTAGTCTATTAACTACTCATTCTAAGAACCAAAACAGAGGATCTGTTTACACCTCGGTATTTCACAGGATTAGACATTTACCTTGGTGCTTGTGTTGTTTTTTTAAGCAGCAGGAGGTTTTACCTTGACAGGATGAAACTCAACAAAATAAAATAAAATATGACTAGAAATATAATCATGAAAACAACTAAAAAACAGTGCAGTCTACATGATCGCAGTGTATAAGGTGGGGGTGGGGGTGGTGGGGTCGGGGGGACTCCAAAGATCCAGTGCACAAAGAGAGAAAATTAAAGCAGAGAGTGAAAGAAAACAGCTACAGCTACAGGATTAAGTGACCTCAGCACACTGGGCCCAGGTGCACTCAGTCACAGCAATCAGTTACCTGCAAGCAGCAGCAGCACACATTAGACACACCCATGGGATGACCTCATTCAGGACACACCACATGGGCCATCACCAAACAGATACTTCAGCACACAATCTGTTTCTAAATGTGTCGCTGTGCAGCAGGAAAGAAAGAAAAGAAAAGAAAAGAAAAGAAAAAAGAAATGCTGGTGTATTTGTCTTCATATTTATGCAGGAGGTGAAAAAAAGGTTTTTATGTGGTTTCAGTTTATTTTATCAAGAATAGATATAGAGTTTACATAAGAGTATACTTTTAAATATTAGAAAAAAATTAACCCTGATTTTTTTTAATTATACCTTTTTACTGACAGATAAAATAGTTTCAATGTGTGATTTTATAAGAGATAAAGGAGATTTGAGAAGTTTTAATACTATATATCTGCAGATTTGATATTTCAACCCACAACCAATTTGAATCCCCAGCAAATTTTTTAACCAAACTTTTTTACAACAGATTTTAATCTTGCATCAACTGGTTATTTGAACTAAACTAATATTCGAGGATTTTGATCTCTATCCCAAAGATTTTCAACAATTATATATATCTATACAAACAGGATGGAATACACAGACTTCACACAGCTTCCAGTTATCCCTTGGTAACAACAGGAGCCACCTTGAAACAGTCTTTGTCATGTATGTCAAACTGCAGAGTCTAAGCCTAAGGCAGAGGTCGTCCCCGAGTAAGGACACTGGGAAAATCTTTGCTTCTCTCACACTCTTGAATTTTCTCTCCACAGAAGCAGAGACAAAGTAGAGATAGCAGCCGCAGACAGAGATGTCCGTGGTGTGGAAATAGTTAAAGCCATAAAGACGTACAGTACCACAGCCCTGACCCTGTGCCCCCCCAGGTATCCCCCCGCGCAGAATTCTTATTCCCTACCAAACTGACAAAGTGTTTTTAATCTTTTCTTTGCCTCTCTCCTGGAGATTGGGGAAACAAAAATCAATAGCTCCTGGCAGGCGATCTAGCAGGCCGGTGAATTACAGGGTCTGCACTGCAACCAGAG